CGCCCTCAGGCCCACTTGCCGCAGCAGGTTTCGGTGGCATCTCCCATGGGGATGGCAGGTGGAGCTGGTCCTGCCTGGGGCAGCGAGAAGAAGGACTAGGTGACCTCCTCAGGTCCGGGGGCACATGGAGAGCGTGGGTCTACCACAAAGCCCTACATGACAGCGGCAGCACTGTTGCTCGTGATCTCTGGATCTCAGACCCAGGAGCTGTGGCATGGGACAAGGCGACTGCCTCCAAGGAGCTCCCTGTCCAGGGCAGGCTCATGGGGCGATGACCCAGTCAGTGCCGCTGGGATGGCGGCAAGCTGGTCCTCACGGGAGTCCCGGGGCCTGGCCCGGCGAGCCCCACGCTGCAGTGGGCACGTAGAGATGGGCTGTCACAACCCTGTGGGACAGGGTTACTTATAGCCTATAAGCAACAACACAGCTTGAACATTCTTATCCCTAGGCTTTGTTGCTCCCCAAATTTCATGTTTCCTTGCTAATTTTTTTGCAAAGATTTTTCTACTACTCTGAGGCCACACCATCACCACCCAAGCCCGGCAGATCCAGGCATCTCACCAGCTGGACTGACCTGCAGGACCGGGGTGCGGATGCCTGACACCAGTCTTCACCTCAATTCCTGCAGATTTGCAGCCCTGTGGCATTTTCAAGGTGAGCAAGGCTCTAGAGTTCAGCATTTTGCTTTAATTAGAATTAACCTCCACCTCCACAGAACCTGGGTGTCTCCAAAGGGAAGACGCAAACAGAGGAAAGGCGCCTTCCTTTCTCTCCCTCTTAAGATCCCTCATGCTGAGCACTCAGCACCTGAAAAGGGGGAGGGAAACCCTCCCGTCCCCCCTCCTGCAGCCTCTGCTGTTGCGTGCGGTCGACAGAGGCCACGGCCACCCTGTCTACCGTGGCCAGGCAGCGAGCGGCTGACCCCACTGGTGCTCCCACAGCTGCACCAGGCTACATGTGCTGGTAAAAGCAGCTCGCAGGGGCCTGTAGCCAGAGGGAGAAATGCCCTCAGCACCACGGGGGAACGCGGGCTGACCCCAGCTCAACCCCTGTTGTGGTTGCAAAACACCGTGGCCGGCTCTGACGTGAGCTGGATTCGGCTCCGTTCAACCAGAGCCATCGCCAACAACCTGCACGTCCTTGAAAAGGAACCAGGGGTGTTCAGATAAACTTAGTGCCACAAAGATGAGAGATTCAGACACCGGGATTTTAAGGGACTTGCACTTTACTCAGCAACTCAATGACACCTTCCTTGGTGAGGAACAAAACCTCGCTGCTGTTCTGATTCCAGACCTCAAAGACCGGGGGGTCCTCACAAACCCTCTTCCCGGCTATGACCACGTAGGGATAACCCAGCTTGTTGGCATCCTTTAACCTTTTGCCAATAGTCAGCTGCGTCCTGTCATCCAGCACTGAGTCGTCGGCGAGGTCGGGCAGCACTTCGGCGAGGTCGTCGTACACCCGCTCCAGCAGCGCGGCTCCCTCCTCCTCCTCCTCCTTGCTGCCTCTCTTGGGGGGAATGAAGCAGAGCTGGTAGGGCGCGATGAGGCTCGGCCAACGGATGCTGTCCTCCGTAGAGAGGACCTCGATGGAGGCTGCCAGGATGCGAGTGACACCCAGGCCGTAGCAACCCATTTCTGCCAGCTGGGGTTTGTTCTCGGGGGAGTAGAAGATGGCGTTGGAGACAGAGGAGTACTTGGTGCCCAGATAAAACGTGTGCCCCACTTCGATCCCTCTGGTCTGGGTGAGTTTTTCCCCACAGGTGGGGCAAGACGTTTGCTCCCCATTTAACGTTTCCACGTTGGCCGCAAAATGTCCGTCAGGGCAC